TCGGTCAATTCACATGAATTGCACTTTATTGACACGACAGGAATGAAACCTATATGCAGACGGTACATCGACCCACAATGCTGTATTGTCGACTTTATTAGAGGGCCGTCCCTCTCTTCTATCTCTCTGTCTCTATCAGCTGTGGCTTAAGCGTCGCGCTTAGAATAGCGATGTATCTATAGTGTAACGTTGCATTTCACTTCCCTGAATGTGGAGAGTGCATATCTCAACACTTGATATGAATTGGTCCGCCATGCGAGCGGTGGCTCTGCCTGGACTAAAGATAGCAAGTTCCATACACTCGAGGCTTTTTTTACCATTTATGTCCCTGGCCGTGCATTAAAAATAAAACAAACATGCCCCAGCAGAGCAGGGTCCTGACAATATGCTGCCCCCGAGGTACGAACGCATAAACTAAACAGCCAGGAGGCTGCCCGACGTAAAGTAAACACTTAGCATGTGCAGACCAGACATTTGTCTCACCTGTCAGTGTCTCTGTGTCCCGCGTTAATGAAGGGTTTGGGCTGTTCCGTAATGACAGAATTCATAAATTGGAGGTGTCGGCGAAAAGCAGGAATTGCAGCGCTCAAAGGCCGTTTGAAACACCAACAATAGTAATACCCTCTGGAGCAGTTTATGCCTTCAAATGATTCATCATCTTCTTATTTTAGACCAGAGAGTGTACACGCTTGCTGCTTTGGCGTTGCAGTGTCTTACTAACAGTCGGTCTAGTACGCTAAGTGAGTTTACTTCAACTGAACTGAGAAAGAGAAGCGCAGAGAGGGAGATGCCTGGTTGGGTGTTATCTGGTGTGTGGACGTGGTGGTTGAGGAAGGTGTGGGACTCCGACACTGTCACGAGGCCAGGGGCTGTTTGTGTTGGCTGACACCTTCCTTACAGCAGTAATCCAGTCTTTCTCCAGCTGGCAAGTTACTACACCTCCCCCCCCCCTTCCTTTTTTCCCCATCCTCCCTCCTGAAAGCTCTAAAAATTGGCTTTCTTTTTTGTGCGGGACACTTTTTAATCTATCTCCGTTTACCTCTCTCTATTCTTTTTCTTCCCCACCCTGCTCCATCTCTTTTCCCTTCCTATGCGCTCTTAATATGTCAACTATTCCAAAAAAAAGTAGAATGATCCAACGAAAGAAACGGCGGCATTAAAGCAACCAAAGACCGTGAGATGATATGGAGTTCCCTTCTGTCTCTCTCCTTCTCCGTGTCCCAGATCATCCGTAGATGTTACTGAAACCTCACACCAGCCCAATGCTCATTCGCTAAAAATGCATTTCCTGTGTCTCGTCCGCTGGATGGCTGTCACTTAATTATTTAAAAAATGCCCATCATGTGAAGTCAGCGATATGCAATTTACTACAACTGGTGCCAGGGGCACCCAATTGATTTATTATAGAAGCCCCTTTTAATGTGACCAGCTGTTTCCTACTAAAAAATAGGTCAGGGGTCAGATAAAATGACCTTGTTCTTTTTCTTTTTCTTCCTCCCACTGAGATAGAAAGCTGGGTGTGAGGTGGGAAATGTGAATGTTTGATTCAGATGGACAGTCGGTCTGATCAATATCTCCAGCCTCTGAAAGAATGTCTAAAAGGCCTTTTACTGGATTACATAATATTTTACTGTATAATTGAGTTAGCATGAACGGGTTTTATCATCATTCGGTTGTGTGTTAATGGAGAGGTTTATTTTCCCATAATGTAAATGCTGTAAAAGGTTTCTCTGCTGGGAAATCACCACAGGCATCCAATTAAGCAGATAAAAAGATGTCTATTATCTGCACAAAGTATTAAAACGTACGTCGCCTAATATGAAACTCTGTCCAAACGTTTCATCCCCGAGAGATCTGTATTTGTCAAACCTTTCTTTCTCCTCTGTCAGACTCTCTATATCTCTTATCATTTGAAGTCTAGCCGTTTGAAGACAAGCCGTGTGGCTCTTGTGTTCACTGTGGAAGTCGGAGGAAGGACTTGGGGAGTGGTTCGGGGGCCCTCAGCCGCGGCACTTCCCACCAGAGCGACCTCTGACCCCGGGTACCATTAATCACTAGGCTCCTGATGGCCCTGTCCCTGGGGGAAAATCAGTCCAGGGCAAAGGATGATGGGAGGTGAAGCCTGCAGCCAATTACAGATTGGCTCAGAACAGCCGAGTGGACAAATCAGGGCTTTGCAGGGAGATGAAATACCCAATAGTTGTCTACTTGAGGCCTACGTTGGCCTAACGGCATGAATTGGTCTCGTGACACTGCTGATCACGATGTCTCTAGTCCTCGCTGCAGAAAAGTGAGCAATGAGGCTGAAATGGGAACAACTACAACGGCGGAATAGAGTGCACATTAAAGGGACTGTGAGGCAGAGGAGTTGTGCTGCTGCGATCAAAAGAAATGTTTTGGACCGGTCTAATTAAGCCTGTTGGAGCTAAATGTCTCCAGGGTCGGACACGGAGCAGATGTTGGACACCAAAGGCTGGCTCTCAAATTAGGGAACTCTCCGGTTAACTGCCCACGTGTTGCTAATGTGATTTTTGGTCAATTACGATATTATCAAAGGGGCTTTCCCATGTGCTCGGGCCACGTTGAAATGTGAAACCTGGCTGACGTGAGCGTTGACTAACAATGCTGTTTTAGGTTTCGAAAGCGCCTCTGGTACAATTAAAATGCATAGATAGCTATTTGGTTTACTCTCTCACACGCTCAGCTGTTATTCTTTTGGCATGTTCTGAAAGTAGTTCCTTGTAAATAGATCAAATCCCGTCTGATTTGACAGCAGGCGCTGATAAAGGGATGAATAAAAGCATAGGCGTGAATTAAAGCCTAACTAACTGCTGGCCTGTCACTATGGGGCCAGTGCCGTTGTTGTGTCATTTGTTGTGCTCTCATTGTTCATGTCTGGGCCAGTATGAAAACATGGCTTCCTGCTGACCTGCAGTTTAATTCACACATCAATAACCCTCCGGCTCATCTCTGACCCCTCTGGTTGTACTAATTGTTTGATGCAGGATTGATGTCCAACGCTGCATTAAATAACTGACGAGGCGCCGGCAGCAAAGCATTCCTGGTGCTGTGAGCTGCTGCGTGTTCTGGAAATGTGACAACTGCCCGGAGATGTTCAGTGGAACATTTAGTTTACTACCCCGCCTCAGAATAAAGCTCAGCTTCTTTTAGGTCTATTGGGAATCTGGTAACCACATTTGAGATCCACTGGAGAACAGCAGCTAATTCAAATGTGTTGTGCAGTTGCCTGTTATGCTATCCATTGCTGGCTGTAACTTAAGCAGGCTTCACATTTATATACTACTGTTGACATTGTTAACTTGGTCTCAACTGATTTTGAGAAGGTATATCCATTCATGTTTGGATTTCATTCTGAAATTTAAAAAAGTTGAAAGTAGCTACCACCCACTGTTAAAAGTAAAAAAAACTGTTTGTATTTGATTGGAGGGATTTCGAATAATTTCACTTTTATGCAGACCCAATGTTTAACAGCCATTAAATACTGAATACTCCTCCTCTCCTCTTGCTCTGTGCGTATCTAATCCAAAGGATCTGTAGAGTAAGCTGGCATCTTGGCAAAGGCCCTCTTGTTTTGATAATTATTAATTGGCTCTGGAGATAAGATGGCCAGTTTCCCAGAACAGCATTTTCTGCAGCTGAACAATACTAACCACATACACACATGTGCTGTTTTGCTGCTGTTTTCTACATTCATTTTACGGAGTGAGAGGAGGTCTTACAAGTATGTTTTGGGTTTATATATGTTTATTTCTTACACATCAATGCCATCTAATGCAAGCTAATACCATCTTCAAATCTCAATTTACGTGAATGAAGGTGGACATAATCAACTTGACAAAGGAAGGATTTCTTTGCAGGGATGTTGTGTTGGATTGGATGTACCAAATACACTGGTTCCACTCTACATATTACAAATGCACATGCATTTCTGCTCTGAATGCGTTATGTTGGCGGCCTGTAATTACACTTGCATCCCATTGTTACTGTATCAAGCTGCAGAATGAGGAAACTGTTGCCGAACAACGATGGTTCAATATCGCAGCCTCGTCGGCTTCTTAAGTTGCTAACTTAAGAAAATGAATCGGGGCTAGTCTTCAGGCCTGATCACACTGCTATTTTACACGGCCATTAATGAGTCTGATTGAGAGCAGCCTGTGGAGGGGCTGAAGGATTGGCTGGCATTAGCTCCGAGGGCAAATCTGTGCGACTCTCCCTGTGGCAGGGCTAACAGCAGAGGGGTGTGGATTTACTCTGTACAATCCTCTAAATGAGCTGCATTATACTGGACTATCTAAGAGCCCCACCCACCCACCGCTGCTCATGGATTAGCAGGTCGTCAGTCCCCTCCTCCCGCTTCATGCTTACACTGTTGCACATTGCACTTTTTGATTCTGTTGCCCCCCCCCCACTCCCTGCAAGCCTCACTGCAGATAAGCTGTTGACAAGATGAATGCATCTGTATCAAAAGTCTAGAGCCGCTTTGCTTTGTGTTGTTTGCGAATTCCCTTTTCCAGGTCAAGCCAGATTGCCTTAACTGGGCTAATATGTTTTCAAGCCAAATTTAACAGCCGTGCAGGCAGCAGGCCGGACACCCTTCTATTACCAGCATCCTGACAGCACTTAATGTCAGTATCTACAGGGCTAAAATGATTCTGGGTGTTTCAGCATTGATTGGCTGAAGAATGAATGCATAATTTAGAATTCGCCCTGCTTCGTCATTTACACTGCAGCAGCTTTAAATGTATTTTCTGTGTTGGGTGCCAATATGTCTGAGCAGAGACGCAAACGCAAGAGGAATTGTCAGCATTATGGTTCCGATTCCCGCCGGGATCGTCCATGTTAAAAATGCATGCACACGTGATACACAAATGCACTTCATCCACCATAAAGCATTCATTGTGCGTCACTAAGCCGTTGTGACTCAGATGTATGATTTATACCGTATTGATTGGATTTTATGGTTTTCCTCTCCTCCACAGGAACCCCAGTCAATCGTATCCCCATCATGGCCAAGCAGGTCCTGGATCTGTACATGCTGTACAAGCTGGTGACAGAGAAAGGAGGCCTTGTGGAGGTTATCAACAAGAAGATCTGGAGAGAAATTACAAAGGGACTCAACCTGCCTACCTCCATCACCAGCGCTGCTTTCACCCTGCGCACACAGTAAGTCTTTGAATCGGTGTTGCAAAAAAAAAATTCATTTAATTGGCTGCAGTAGCTATAAATTGTCCCAGTCTAACTTATTTTAATCTTATATAATCTCTAATTGAATTTGCGGGGACTAAATAAAGAATCTCAATTGTGTGACTTCCCACCTGGAAACAATCATCTTCCTTATTCCATGAATATGTGGATTTCTGTGTGTGTTGGTATGAGTTTGGATGTCAATATTAACCCGTGATGTAGTGTTTGTACACATGCGGGTTTGTTTCCCCCACCAGGTCGCCTTTCCCTCTTCACATTCAATCCCTCCGTCCATTACATCACACATAGCCCCCCATTGATTCCCATAGATCTATTGACGTGATTTGGGTCAGAGTTCACAATGACTAAGGTGGGGTTTGACTGACAGATTGTGCCGAGACTAAAACGCTCCTGCTATCTCGACTGAAATCCTCCGGTAGATGTAACACCTCTCTATCCTGTCCACTGGCAGGGGGCCCTAATGACCCTTTATGTATTTTTAATGCCGTTGGGCCGTTGTGTGCAGCGTTGCTCCGTTGGCTCTGTCTAATGGACGCTGCTCATAGCTTCTTATTGATCTGCTTTTCCACCATTATGCAGCCAGCACACACAACACTGTATGTTCACTTTACCTAATGCTCTTATAGGATGCAGAAAAACACCAGAGCTGTGACTGCGCATACTTGTGGAGCCCCTGTGATGTCATCCAAGTGTACGCTGCATACAAAACATGTTTTTGCACACCATTGTCATATCAAGTTGTCACTAAACCCTGTTCTGTTTCATGCACTTAAGTAAGAAGGTTACGTAATTACAACAGCTAGATTTCTGCTGGAGAAGATTCAAAGATATGATTGGCTCGGGGAGAAATGGGTTTACGTGTTGGCTAAATGTAAACAGGTTTTACAGCAACCAGTTTACTGCAGTATAAAGGCAGAAATGACTGTCCTTGACATTTGCTGACAGCCCGTATTATGGGTTCATAGTTGTATTTTGTATTTTGGGTTACATGCTTTAATGTGAAACAAAACAAACATTATTTGTTCTCCTACTGGGGGGCGGTATATAGTAATGAGCCTGCATGTGACATAGGAAGGGGGGCCAAATCTGAATGGTTTGTTGAATCACATGTTTTCTGATCCAAACAGCCCAATAACAGACTGGATTGTCTTATTTCACAGTTTGTGGGTTGGTAGACACTCCAGATACCCAAAGATATGCACACGAGTTCTTCCTGATATGTCCCCTTAAAGTCTATAATTGTAAAAGATTTTACAGTTTTTACGCCAAATCATGATCAAGTACGTTTTGATTTTGAATCAGTTAGTTGTGATTGTGGTTTGGTTTCTGAGCTGGATTAAGCCAATTAAGTCTAGTAATGCTAATGCTTGCCATGTGAACGTTTCTGTGGTGATCTGATGCTTTGTGTCCGTGTGTGTTCTCCTCTCAAGGTACATGAAATACCTGTACCCGTATGAGTGCGAGAGGAAAGGCCTCAGCTCCCCCGGTGAGCTCCAGGCCGCCATCGACAGTAACCGGCGCGAGGGCCGCCGTCCGAGCTACAGCAGCAGCCTCTTCCGCTTCTCTCCCTCTCCCAGCACGGCGCCCCACATCCTCTCTCCTCCCAAGATGCACCTTTCGGCTCTCGGTGCTGGGGCCTCGGGGATCCTCAACGGCCTGCAGTGCTCACCGGGACACTCTCTGAAAAAAGGTAGGAACCATACAGTCCAGACACAAAGACTTCTGATGGCGGGAATACAACCAGATGCCTTAACCTCCATTATTTACACGAGTTTTACACTATTTAGTACAACATATATTTTGAAAATAATCACAGAGCTTCATGACAGCATAAGGAGGCTAATCTTTATTCCACAAATATAAATGTAGTAAAAATAAATTGGCAGTATGTGGGAATTGCCTTCTAACACAAGCTTGCCTGCGCCTAAACAGGCAGCTCAGAGATATACCTGTGTGTAGCTATGAAGGGTAAAGAAGGGTGTTGTTGGAAAAAACAAGCATTAATGTTTCATGAAGGTTATAATAAACTGCGTAAGTGTTTACCACAGAGAACTGGTTGGACTGAACTGGAGAGTTACAGTTACAGATGTGCTGAGACTTTCAAGTATTCTTTGGGAAATACTGCCCTCTGTCGCACTTTGGAAGTACTACAACTGGCCATCGACACCTCAATGAAACTCACAGATCAGGGTTTTAATGTTTAAGGAGGCTTATTTTTCAGTATCAGCAAAACGTATCAAATACATTGTGTGTGTGTATATATCTATATATATATATCTATATATATATATATATATATATATCTATAT